ATACAGCCTACTGCTTCATAGTAAACTTCTTAATAGGCAGTCTTCTGCATTTGAAAGCCTCTTGCTGTAAAATGGTGTCTACACTCTGGGGGATGTCTATTACAGCATCAGAAAATAACTACTCTACTTTTTTCTTTTACAGAGTGGAGTACCTGCTTTCTTGAAAGATATGCAGAAGGCTTGCCTTGCTTATCACAAGGAAACATAAGCTTCTACTTTGGGACTGCCTGAATGGCTTTACTGATTTGTTTTCCTCAAATAGGGTACTTGTGTGGATGGCAATTGTAACACTGGATGAAATCTACCTCCTGGGATAACTAGTTTTTGAGTGGCATAGGTGTCATTGGCATGCCTTGGACTGCATCTGGCCTTTTAATTTCCAGGTCTTTGTGCTATTTGGCCCTCCTTGCAAATCACTTCATTGGCATATATGAGGCTGCTTATTTCAAAGTGTTTTCTTATCCTATTCACTCTATTCTTCTCTGTCTTCTACACTGGATCGGAGAGGAACTTCAGTTCATGAATATCAGTCCTCCAGTAGGGTTCCTATCTTGTTTAGAAGAATACATTCAAATGGCTCCTAAAATATTTATTTTTCTTTTGAGCAAAGAAGGGAGTTCTGATGCTCTAATTAACCATGAGTATCTTGCCAGGTAACTTCTTGCACATTCTGGCAAGTACCATGCACATGCACTTTGAGCACTTTTTTTTTGAAAGCCTAATAGTCTCTCTCTTCTGCTTCCCAAGGTTATCATGTATAGCCTGGCTCTGCCATTCCTGGCCCTGTACAAATCCTGTCTGTTTGCCAGAAATATGAGATCCTTCCTTTTTTCTGTATTAAACTTGAAGCCTACTGCCTGCTTTAGGACTTCTACTCTATTTGTAGAACTTGGTTTACTTGTGACCATCTTAAATCTTCACTTAACTGTTTGGTTAAATGTGCATTGGCATCATTGTTGCCTAATGCTTGGCATATACCACACCCAGCTAGTTGAAATGAAGCAACTTGATGAATTGGTTTTGTGTCGTACTTCTCTGGAATCTAATTGGCATGTTCAAAGTTTACAATAGGGGTCTTAAAGCTTGGATTTTCATTATAATTTGAAATTATTGCTGAGATGATTGCACTCTGTTGGTTAGGGATCCTTCTAAATCTCTCAGCAGCTAAATATTTTGCTCTCCAATCAAATTGGATGTTCATGTAAAGAAAGGGAAAGGATTGAAATCCTGCAGCTGGTGACCTTAAACTAATGGGGGAAAACTGTCTATTTGGGGGGAAGGACATAACTTAAGGTTACTATCTCAGGGATATACAATACTTCATACCAGGATGGTGCATCACTGGTCAATGGAATGGTGAATCTTTTCTAAATTAAAGATGTATAAATATGTATGTATGTATGTAAAGAAATGACTACTATGGTTGTATATACCTCATTGTTTGAATGTCTTCTCCAGTACTAAATTAAAAAAAATCCTGTAACTTACTTTGTATAGATATGCTTGTCATTGCTAGAAAAAAAATTATTCTTAATCTTGTTGACTACAGATAACTGTCTCTGCCTTCTCCAGGTTTACTATGCCAATGGTTAACTAGAGAACAGTTAGTTGTCTGCATGACTTGACTAGTTTTACATGGATGTAGTTTGACTACTTGCCAAAGGCATTGAGTAAACCAAGTATAAATGCATTCTGAACTTTTAACTGTGACTTCATAAGGTTTAAGAAGCTGTCTGAAGTTACCACCAAATGTTATGAAAAGGGACGGATTCAACCAGTGAAACTAATACTTCTGCTTCTTTGTTTGCTTGTTTCTTTTCTTGCAAAATAAATTTAATTGGGCTTAAAGGTCACTGTCATATTTGACACATGCAGGTCAGCAGGGATATAACAGAAATGACTGATCCTGAATTTTTTGTTCTAGAACAATTTCCGCCTTCTCCCCATGATAATTCCACCTGAAAAGTGAAATTCTTACACACGTTCCATTGGGGGGATTTCCTCTTGTTGCGAGATCCCACTTAAATGGTTGCCTGTAGGTTCTGTGCTGGGAATCTCCTGCAAGGATCTTGCAATCCACAGTCCAGGCTGTTGGAAGGTATGCAATAATCTTTTTTCCGCGCCCCCCCCCCCAGGCATTTCTAGATGCATGCACTTTGGCAAAGTGACCCTCTGGCTATAAAGAAGATGGAGGCAATGAGAGATGCAGTAGTTGGAGGGTTGCTGCTGAAGAGTGGTGACCATTCTATGCAATAATGTCCCTCTTCATAGGAAAATGGCACCTAATCCTGCCTTGGCATCTTTTTATTTTGTATTCTATAAACATCCCTCCAGCACTAGACCTGCTTTAAGAGTTCATTGAAATGGAAGACATTTCTCTGAAGTCCTTTGAAAATCCCATGGTTCACCCCTCCATCTCTTTCTCTCCCTCCCCCCAAACTTCTGCCATTCATTAGTTCTAAATAGAAAGAACTTATCTATTTTGTGCTGCCTCAAGCATTGCAGCTTTATGTAGTTTTTACATTTTAATGTGGAGTGGCTCTGCATACAATGGTGAAGTCTGAGCTGGAATATGTATACCAAAGAAGCATTGGGCTGAAAAGTACCCCTTGGGGGTCCTTGTTGGATGTGTAGGCCAGAAACATTAACAGTTAACATTTTGTGTTCTGAATGTATTTAGTACTAATAACTAGAAGTAACTCCTACTGAATACAGTGGTTTAGCTAACAAAACAGCAGTCCACACTGACATTTTACAGAATGCTTGGCCTGTACAGTTAATGGAGTTTGTTCTACGAGTGTGATTAGTCCAGAAACAAGCTTTTCGAATGAGAACATGGCAATACTTCTAGAGATGTACTTGCACACACTTTGTCTTAAAATGCCAGTTTGATTCAGGAATTGCTTCCTGTTTCAGTGCAGGAAATTGCCCTATGTGAGGATCTTTTATATGTTGATCTACTGATGTACTAAAAGCTTTCATTGACTTAGAACTGCGAAGAAAATATTCTGTATGCTTCTATGCTGAGCTCAATATTTAAGGTGCGTTTTAGGAATGCAAAAGACTCCTTAAACCTTGTAGTTATTCAGACCATAATTAGGCAGACTGAAATGCATTCCAGTGTTCTAAAATAAATGTACTTTTTTCATTGTACTGATGAGAGAATTTAGTAAGACAGACATTTTGATTTTGTTACTTTTAAATAGCACTTTTGAGAGGGGAAAAATGTGATATATATATATATATATATA